AATATCCATTCTGTGCCCAGCCAGTAGCCATACAATGTAGAGTGAAACCCACATCTGAAAATCCAAAGGAAATATCATATGAAAAATCTGGTGGAATGGGTGTTTCCTGCAACTTGAACAGAGGTCTTGTATGTGTAGATTCCATGCAACCTAATGGAAAGAAATGTTTGGATTATGAAGTGAGGGTATACTGTACAGATGCTTGTCCGTCCACTGTTGCCCCAGAGGGAACACCTACCGCTGAACCTCCTAAGAGTGAAACAAGTTTCCCAACAGCCAGTCCAGGTCTTCAAGGAAAAAGTAGTCAGCCAACAGCCAGCCCAAGTGCAGGACAGAGTGGTCTTCCCACAGCCAGTCCAGGTGTTACAGGACAAAGTGGTCTTCCCACAGCCAGTCCAGGTGTTACAGGCGGAAAGACCGGTCAACCAACAGCCAGCCCAAGTGCAGGACAGAGTGGTCTTCCAACAGTCAGTCCAAGTGCAGGACAGACTGGTCTTCCCACAGCCAGTCCAGGTGTTACAGGCGGAAAGACCGGTCAACCAACAGCCAGCCCAAGTGCAGGACAGAGTGGTCTTCCCACAGTCAGTCCAGGTGTTACAGGACAAAGTGGTCTTCCCACAGCCAGTCCAGGTGTTACAGGCGGAAAGACCGGTCAACCAACAGCCAGCCCAAGTGCAGGACAGAGTGGTCTTCCAACAGTCAGTCCAAGTGCAGGACAGACTGGTCTTCCCACAGCCAGTCCAGGTGTTACAGGCGGAAAGACCGGTCAACCAACAGCCAGCCCAAGTGCAGGACAGAGTGGTCTTCCCACATTCAGTCCAGGTGTTACAGGACAAAGTGGTCTTCCCACAGCCAGTCCAGGTGTTACAGGCGGAAAGACCGGTCAACCAACAGCCAGCCCAAGTGCAGGACAGAGTGGTCTTCCAACAGTCAGTCCAAGTGCAGGACAGACTGGTCTTCCCACAGCCAGTCCAGGTGTTACAGGCGGAAAGACCGGTCAACCAACAGCCAGCCCAAGTGCAGGACAGAGTGGTCTTCCCACATTCAGTCCAGGTGTTACAGGACAAAGTGGTCAGCCCACAGCCAGCCCAAGTGCAGGACAGAGTGGTCTTCCAACAGTCAGTCCAGGTGTTACAGGACAGAGTGGTCTTCCAACAGTCAGTCCAGGTGTTACAGGACAGAGTGGTCTTCCAACAGTCAGTCCAGGTGTTACAGGACAAAGTGGTAAACCAACAGCCAGTCCAAGTGCAGGACAGAGTGGTCTTCCCACGGTCAGTCCAGGTGTTACAGGACAGAGTGGTAAACCAACAGCCAGCCCAAGTGCAGGACAGAGTGGTCTTCCAACAGCCAGTCCATCCGGTATACAAGGAGGCACCCCAACAGCCTCTCTGCAGATTTGTAAAGAGGGGTGGACAGGATGGATCAACTCTGATAAACCTACAGTTGGCAATGGCGATGTTGAAACTGTCAGTGGAATTGCTGGGTATCCAAAAACATGCATGAAGGTTCTTTCAGCTGAATGTAGAGTTGCCGAAACTAAAGCTGACTATAGATCTACTGGACAGCAGGTTAACTGTGATGGCACCGGGCTTGAATGTATCAATGGAGAAAATCAACAATGTGCAGATTATGAAGTTCGATTCTATTGTTTCTGTAAGTATAATCTTTATTGATCATGATATATGTATATGAATAGTGTATCAATTCGCACGAATGCTTACAATATTCATAGAGATATAAACACATGGTGACTACATTATAAAAAAGAAGAACTTTATTTGATAAATTCGGCATGTGATTTATTAACACGCTATGAACATCGAGGATTATGGTCATTCATGCTAATCATATATCATATTCATGCTACGCACACGTTATACATTAATTTCAACTGATAATGTCTACAACCGGTAGGAATTGAGAACAGATTCCGTCCACAGTAACCATTGCTTGTCGTAAGAGTCTATAATAGGAACGTCATGATATGACTGGAATACTGTTAAAAACAACGTTAAACCCAACTCACCCACTCACTGTATAATGTCATCTTGTTGCAAGTCACGCTTTACCTTGGCTGACTTCGTGAATTGTTGCTTATGCTTTATGTGAATGACTTGCCAGATCCAGATATAGCTGGAATGTTGCTGAGTACGGCGTAAAACAACATATCTATCTGCAGGTGGAGAAGAGACAACTCCAGGTGAAGTGCCTTCGGTTACTCCAACTGCACGCCCCTCCGTATCCCCAGTAGCAGGAATCAGTGGGCAGCCAGAGACCATTATCTGCAACCATGGCTGGACATCCATGATGAATGAGGCACGCCCTGGAGATTCAGATGGGGGAGACCTGGAGACCATTGACAAGCTGAGAAAGTCAAACAAGTTCTGTGATGAGAGCAATATCATCTCTATAGAGTGTGTTGTTGCTGGAACCAATACAGGTCATGAAATGACAGGGCAGCAGGTAACATGTGACAAACAGGCTGGTCTCCTCTGCTTCAACAGCAAACAGTCCAATGGCCAGTGTCTGGATTATGCAGTCCGATTCTTCTGTGACTGTGCTCAATGTAAGATATCTGTTTTTTTCTGAAATACTGTTAACGTTTTAGTTAACCGGTATTAACCTATTCAGCATCATATATTCTTTGAAAGTCAAGATAATGTTGTTTATCTTAATGCTCGTAATATAATGCTGATTATGTTTTAATGTTTCAGCAACACCCTACAACCCCGTGGTCACTACATATGCTGTATACACTGGCTCCAATGAGGTGACACCATCTCTCATTCCATCAGCTAAACCGAGTGTCAGCCCAGTAGTTCAGATTACATCTGCTCCACCAAGCATTGACCATAGTGGAATGCCAACTGCAAGTCCTATACCAGGACAGAGTGGTAGCCCATCAGCACAGCCACCAACAGGGCCAGGTGGTCTCCCAACAGCCAGCCCAGGTGTAACAGGAATGAGCGGTCTTCCCACAGCCAGTCCAAGTACAGGGCAGAGCGGTCTTCCCACAGCCAGTCCAAGTACAGGACAAAGTGGTCAGCCAACAGCCAGCCCAATTCCTGGAAAGAGTAGTCAACCAACAGCCAGCCCAGGTGTAACAGGAATGAGTGGTCTTCCAACAGCCAGCCAAGGTGCTACAGGAAAGAGCGGTGAACCAACGGCCAGTCCAAGTGCAGGACAGACTGGTCAACCAACAGCCAGTCCAGTTGTAACAGGAATGAGCGGTCTTCCAACAGCCAGTCCAAGTGCAGGACAGAGTGGTGTACCCACGTCTAGCCCAGGTGTTCCAGGACAAAGTGGTCTACCAACAGCCAGCCCAATTCCTGGAAAAAGTGGTCAACCAACAGCCAGCACAGGTGTTACAGGAAAGAGCGGTCAACCAACAGCCAGTCCAAGTGCAGGACAGAGTGGTCTTCCAACAGCCGGCCCACCAGGTGTTACAGGAAAGAGCGGTGAACCAACAGCCAGTCCAAGTGCAGGTCAGAGTGGTCTCCCAACAGCCAGCCCAGGTGTTACAGGAAAGAGCGGTGAACCAACAGCCAGTCCAAGTGCAGGACAGAGTGGTCTTCCAACAGCCGGCCCACCAGGTGTTACAGGAAAGAGCGGTCAACCAACAGCCAGTCCAAGTGCAGGGCAGAGTGGTCAACCAACAGCCAGCCCAGGTGTAACAGAATTTAGCGGTCTTCCCACAGCCAGTCCAAGTGCAGGGCAGAGTTATAAGCCCACTCCCCATCCTCAACTAGTAACAACGTGTGCATCATATTGGTCTCAGTGGTTCAACCGTGACAAGCCTTCAACAGGTGGAGGGGACCATGAGCATGTTTCACACGAGGATTTGAACAATAACTTTGCATTCTGCTCTGGTGGGGAGATAACCGACATCCAATGTTTCGGACTTGGCACACAAGCCTATTCATTCTCCACTGGAGAGGTCACACAATGTGATCTGAAGAAGGGATTCACGTGTCTCAACGCCGAAAATGCACCACTAAACTGCCAAGACTACCAAATTAGATACTTCTGTCAAGTCTGTGGTAAGCATCAGTTGTTTGCAACATTGAAAATACCTCTGTACTTACATTCAGTCGTGTCTCTTATTAACAACAGATGTCTCGAGAATGTAATAGACAGATATATGTGATATCTTAATCTAACATATGTATTTTGTGCAGCACTTGTACCAACTGCCGCCCCAAGCGCAGCTCCAAGTGGTCTTCCAACTACTTCCCCAGGACTTCCAGGACGAAGTGGTCAACCAACAGCCAGCCCAGTAACTGGGCAGAGTGGTCAACCAACAGCCAGCCCAAGTGCAGGACAGAGTGGTCTTCCAACAGCTAGTCCAGGTGTTACAGGAAAGAGCGGTGTTCCAACAGCAAGTCCAAGTGCAGGACAAACTGGTCAACCAACAGCTACTCCAGGTATAGGGGAAAGTGGTCAGCCAACAGCCGGCCCACCAGGTGTTACAGGAAAGAGTGGTCAACCAACAGCCAGCCCAAGTGCAGGACAGACTGGTCTTCCAACAGCTACTCCAGGTATAGGGGAAAGTGGTCAGCCAACAGCCGGTCCACCTGGTGTAACAGGAAAGAGTGGTCAACCAACACCCAGTCCAAGTGCAGGACAGAGTGGTCATCCCACAGCTAGTCCAGGTGTAACAAGAAAGAGCGGTCAACCAACAGCCAGTCCAAGTGCAGGACAGACTGGTCTTCCAACAGCTACTCCAGGTATAGGGGAAAGTGGTCAGCCAACAGCCGGCCCACCAGGTGTTACAGGAAAGACTGGTCAACCAACAGCCAGCCCAAGTGCAGGACAGACTGGTCTTCCAACAGCTACTCCAGGTATAGGGGAAAGTGGTCAGCCAACAGCCGGCCCACCAGGTGTTACAGGAAAGACTGGTCAACCAACAGCCAGTCCAAGTGCAGGACAGACTGGTCTTCCAACAGCTACTCCAGGTATAGGGGAAAGTGGTCAGCCAACAGCCGGCCCACCAGGTGTTACAGGAAAGACTGGTCAACCAACAGCCAGCCCAAGTGCAGGACAGAGTGGTCTCCCAACAGCTACTCCAGGTATAGGGGAAAGTGGTCAGCCAACAGCCGGCCCACCAGGTGTAACAGGAAAGAGCGGTGTTCCAACAGCCAGTCCAAGTGCAGGACAGAGTGGTCTGCCCACAGCATCTCCTAGTGGTGGAGTCAGTGGTCAGCCAACGCCTGGACCAGACCATGCTATCAACAATTCCCCAAGTACCAAGTCACACACTGTGGTCCCAACAGCTTCCCCGTCATATCTGCCTGTTACCAAGACAACAGCTATATACACTACTTCTGGAAACACAATTACCATCACAAAGAAAGGTGAGAGTAAAATTTGGCAAAGTGATTAACTCAATATCAACATCCTTGATGTCAGCTTAATTCGTTGCTTTGCAAAACTAACTTTTAAACTTTTAATTACTTAAACGTTGAATACCATGTGATGTTTCTCTACAGTGTGTGACATCCCAATGGGCACCGGAAATCGTGATCTTTTCGGAAGGGACCAGTTTTCTTCTTCAACATCTTTCGACTACAGTTTTGAGGCAGATAGGGGACGTTTGGATACAGCCAAAGAAGGAAACCTTGCAGGAGCATGGATGCCAAGGTATATGTCAAAGAAACTATAGTTTTATTATTGTGGGCAAGTCTTCATGGTTATAGTTTTCGTTTAGATTTATGTTTGTATGTTGTTAATTGCGGGCGTTAATATTCCTTTATCTCTGTGTGTCTTATATACACAATACATACATACAGATATTTAGCCCGTGAAAAATGTCAGTTTATCAAACATCAAGGCTGGTCTTGACGACGCTGAGGAGGGACGACGTAACTGTTTCTGTGATCTAATGTGAAGGCTGAGCTTGTTCCAGGGGTACGAACGATTGCCATACATTTTGGTACGTGATAGTGGAATTTGTGGCAGTTGCTGATCGCTTGATCACAAGGAAAGAGTCTTATTTTTATCATCCTTTGTTTCAGAATGAACGACAAAGAGCAATGGATACAAGTTGACCTCAAACATCCTGAGTTCATCACTGGAGTGGTAACACAGGGACGACCATCCATGGATCACTGGGTCACAAAATACACTGTCCTTACCAGTATAGATGGAATTGACTTTACTCCTTACACCAGGAGTGGGGAAACGGCCACAGTTGTATTCACTGGCAATTCAGACAGAAATACTCAGGTCAGAGGTTTGTTTGACAGGGAAATAATTGCCAGATATGTTAGAATCCAGCCCCAGGAATGGAATGGCATGATTGCTCTCCGTTTTGATATTCTATCATGCTCAGGGCTCACAAGTGGACCAGCCACTATTGCCCCACCTGGTGTCTCTGGAAGTCCAACCGCCGTCCCACCAGGTGTCTCTGGTAGCCCAACTGCCGTCCCACCAGGTGTCTCTGGAAGCCCAACTGCCGTCCCACCAGGTGTCTCTGGAAGCCCAACTGCCGTCCCACCAGGTGTCTCTGGAAGCCCAACTGCCGTCCCACCAGGTGTCTCTGGAAGCCCAACTCCTTCACCCAAGGCTGGAATCTCTGGAATTCCAACTCCCAAGACTGGAATCTCCGGAAGCCCAACCGCCGTCCCACCAGGTGTCTCTGGAAGTCCAACTGCCGTCCCACCAGGTGTCTCCGGTAGCCCAACCGCCTTCCCACCAGGTGTCTCTGGAAGCCCAACTCCTTCACCCAAGGCTGGAATCTCTGGAATTCCAACTCCCAAAACTGGAATCTCAGGAAGCCCAACCGCCGTCCCACCAGGTGTCTCCGGAAGCCCAACCGCCGTCCCACCAGGTGTCTCTGGTAGCCCAACTGCCGTTCCACCAGGTGTCTCTGGAAGTCCAACTGCCGTCCCACCAGGTGTCTCCGGTAGCCCAACTGCCGTCCCACCAGGTGTCTCCAGAAGCCAAACCGCCGTCCCACCAGGTGTCTCTGGAAGTGCAACTGCCGTCCCACCAGGTGTCTCTGGAAGCCCAACTGCTTCACCCAAGACTGGAATCTCCGGAAGCCCAACTGCCATCCCACCAGGTGTCTCTGGAAGTCCAACTGCCGTCCCACCAGGTGTCTCTGGAAGCCCAACTGCCGTCCCACCAGGTATCTCTGGAATTCCAACTGCCCGCCCACCAGGTGTCTCTGGAAGCCCAACTGCCGTCCCACCAGGTGTCTCTGGAAGCCCAACTGCTTCACCCAAGACTGGAATCTCCGGAAGCCCAACTGCCATCCCACCAGGTGTCTCTGGAAGTCCAACCGCCGTCCCACCAGGTGTCTCTGGAAGCCCAACTGCCGTCCCACCAGGTATCTCTGGAAGTCCAACTGCCCGCCCTCCAGGTGTCTCTGGAAGCCCAACTGCCGTCCCACCAGGTGTCTCTGGAAGTCCAACTGCAGTCCCACCAGGTGTCTCTGGAAGCCCAACCGCCGTCCCACCAGGTGTCTCTGAAAGTCCAACCGCCGTCCCACCAGGTGTCTCTGGAAGCCCAACTGCCGTCCCACCAGGTGTCTCTGGAAGCCCAACTGCTTCACCCAAGACTGGAATCTCCGGAAGCCCAACTGCCATCCCACCAGGTGTCTCTGGAAGCCCAACTGCCGTCCCACCAGGTGTCTCTGGAAGCCCAACTGCTGTCCCACCAGGAGTGTCGTCCGGTTAGTATCTGATATCTACTCTTGTGTAAAAGCATATGAATGTCAAATATGTCATTATCTTGTGCTATATACTTGTTTTGTTACTGAAATACATTTCATTCACAGGTGTCGTGTGCAGTCAACCAATGGGAATAGACAACGCATTAACTGTCAAGGACAATCAGATCACAGCATCAGGATTTAGTGGCAACAGATTCACTGCTCCTGCTGGACGTCTCTTCAACGAATTTGGAGCATGGTCACCTAAGTTAGTAGATATTGTATCAAATTAAAAAAACATAACCATTTATATTCTGTGATCGCTACAGCTTTCCTCATAGTTAATAATCATCCTTGGATTTTATCAGACATAATCTTTGAGAAGAGTTTAAGCTTGAGAGAATTTCTCATAACAAATAATTTGCATTTGAACAGAGTCAACAACGGTGACCAGTGGATAATGGTGAATTTCCTGAAGCCACAGGTCATCAATGGTATCTTGACCCAAGGAAGCCCCATCAGTGACAAATGGGTTACACAATTCATCGTATCATACAGTACGGACGGCTTCACCTTCATTCCTATTAAAGACTCGGCGACAGGGAAGAGTATGATCTTTACTGGCAACAGCGACCGGAACACCATCATGAAGAACATCTTCCCTCAACAGGTGACTGTACAATACATCAAGATCACTCCCGTCGCCTGGTCCCCAGCTGGCATTGGAATGCGTTTCAACATGCTTGGCTGCTACAAGCCAAGTATTACACCCACAGCGACTCCTACGGCCAAGCCAACAGTTGCCCCTGAGTTCACTGTGACAACCGGAGTTACTATGCCCGAGCCATCACCGGTGTCAACGCTGGAGCCTGGTGAGTGCCTCACACACCAATTAAGTATCTGTACTTCAAGAAATCTCTCATATCACGTTAGCATTGTGATCACATCAAAAATATGACTGCACATCTTCAGAGACGTATGACAAATGATTTAACCTCCAGAACAGATTATTCTTAAAATCAATCTTGACACAAGTGTATCATTTACAAAGGGTATGTATATGTAAAAGGGGTCATAAACTATGGTGTGTCAATGTGTGGATGAATGTTGTCGAATGCCGCAGTAATTCTTTTGAGAACAAGTATAAGTAATACACTTATCGTATATATTAGCAAAAATATCAGTAGCAAGACGAACTCAAGATTTGACAAAACCATCGGATTGTATTCCTGACGACCATATCTTAGAAGATTAGTATTATTGTTCAATCATTTCTGCCTCCACCTTCGATAGAAAAATAATATTGATGTTTTCTAGTCTGCACTGTTCCAATGGGAGTGGAAAACTACAGGATTGTTGGTGAAAGTCAGTTGACTGCTTCATCAGAGAAGGACAAGGCACATGGTTCAATCTATGCACGAATCTACCAAGGAATGGATGAATTTTCTGGATCCTGGGTCCCAGCGTAAGTCAACATTGTCTGTGCCATCATTTGTTGAAGTGGATTGATATAAACAGAGTAAGATAGCTCAGTCCCTTCAAGTCAATGTATAATGGTGTTGATTTGAGTAGAAAACTTTAATGACTGTTTCCTAAAATGTGGATTGCTGTTTAAGTAAAGTAACACTATGTTTGTAAAACAGCACACACCAGCAGATTTATGTATGAAGGTATTTTCAGACAAGTTACTCATTTAAAAATCCACATTCATGCGTGTACAATTTTGCTTACAGACCCACAGATAAGACACCTTGGATTCAGGTAGATTTTCTGGAGCCCAAAACTATCTCTGGCGTCATAACCCAGGGATCTGGAAAGGACAATGGTTGGGTTGAGACCTACACAGTCAGATACAGCTTCGATGGCAAAACTTTCACTGACTACACTGGCACTGGAGGCAAGCCCGCCAAGGTGTTCAATGGCAACTCTGACTCCAAAACTCCAGTTCCTGTCCTTTTCAACAGAGATATCATTGCACGTTTCGTCCGTATTGTTCCAGTGACGTCTCATGGAGTGACATCCCTCAGGTTCAACATCCTCGGCTGCAATCCATCCCCAGCTAATCCATTAATACCAACGACAGCTGGACCAGGAACTCCAACAGCTAGTCCACCACTCGGTGGACAGAGCGGTGTACCAACAGCAAGTCCTCCCACATCATCCTGCAAAACCAGCCACTGGTCCCCATGGATCAACAAGGACACGCCTGATACTGGTAAAGGAGACTATGAGAAGATCACACCAGAACAGCAACAACAGTACTGCTCTGGTGGGAAACTCACAAAGATTGACTGTCAAACAGTAGATGATATTGAGTATTTCAGCAGTGGAGAAGTCATGAAGTGCTTACTGACAACCGGGTCAACTTGCAATAATGCTGACAACATGCCCATACCATGCAGTGACTACAAGATCCGCTACTTCTGTGAGTGCCTTGCCCCAACAGCCAGTCCAGTTCCTGGGCAAAGTAGTCAGCCAACAGCTAGCCCAGGCATTGAACAGAGTCTTTTGCCAACAGCCAGCCCAGTTCCTGAAGTCACGACACAATCAGGTAGGTTGTTATAATGTATCCTGCATATCTTCTTACCATTTGTGAAGGAGAAAGAGTTAAGAGCCTCTTATAAATGTGGTTTAAATGTAACTTTTGGTTCCATCTCTGCAACTCTTGCTATGTAAATCTGGGTTACTTTGTTTGAGTGGTGGGGGGCTGCTACCTGTAGGACAGGACTCTTACACTTTTTTTGCAAACACCTTTTGGAGTTGGTTTCGGCAGATAAGGGAGAATGAGTCCTATTTGACATTGACGTTTTATATTTACTTCGAGTCTTTGTCCCCCACTTCATTCTATGATAAATAAATTCAAATAATCTTTTCAGTGTGTCTCATCCCAATGGGTATCGAAAACTCCTACTTTGTCAGCAACAGCCAGCTCACATCTTCATCATCTCTTGATGCCAAACATTCTGCATCAGTAGGACGTTTATACAACACCAAGGGAGCATGGAGCCCATCGTGAGTATTGATGCACATACTTTATATGCATACTGTAATCCTATGTGTAATAAACTCTTGGTTGTTTTTAGATTATTGAGTCAATTTTATCAGATGTTTCTACCTCGTTTTTATCTATAAATCAACCATAGATTGAACCCACTTGTGTATTTAGCACTGTGTGTTTATTGTAACAAGAACTCTTTTCTTTAGATCAAATGAAAAGCAATGGCTTCAAGTGAATTTCCTGAAACCAACTCTTATCTCTGGAGTGATGACACAAGGTAGTCCCGAAGCTCCTAAATGGGTTACGAAATACAATGTCTTCCTTGGATTTAACGGCAACGACTTTTTCCCATACACAACTATCCCTGGAGAGTCAACACCAGCCATCTTTGAAGGTAACATGGATAAAAGCACACCCATTAGGAACCTCTTCAACCGTGACATCACTGCACAGTATGTCCGCATCGTTCCAGTGGAGTGGTCAAAGGATGGCATTGCCATGCGATTCAATATCCTTGGATGCACACCACCAGAGCCCAAGCCACAAACACCTGTTCCTGGTGTTCCAACAGCCTCACCTCCTAGTGGACAGTCTACGCCAGGACCCTTCCTCAGTAAGTTAGGACATGTTATACACATCATGGGAAATCACTGATGTTGAAGTCTCTTATTTCCGATCTATGGCAGTTATAAGAGTTAGTTCAGATATGTTCATGCAAGGTGTTTATGTTTTCAGAATGTGATGTTCCCATGGGAATCCAAAACCCCGGTCTCATTGGTGACAGACAACTCACAGCATCTTCCTCCCTCAACGAGTTCACCGGTGCCGAGCGCGCACGGCCCTATACTCAGAAGGATGGATCTTATTCGGGAGGATGGATTCCAAAGTGAGTCTTATAAAATAAATAAAAGAATGAGAGAGTGTTTTTTTGTGTCGTCACTGTTAGAATATTCCAACAATATGACGGCTGGTTACATCAGAAATGGGCTTTACATCTTGTACCCATGTGGGGAATCAAACCCGTTCCTTCATCATGACAAGCGAATGCTTTGACTAATTAGCTATACCACCACCCGAATAAAGAAATGAGTTAGACATGCTTCTCAAACGGTATCAGCATGTGCATTATTTTGTATTTACTGCCCACTGTCATTTTTGTTATGTTCGGTTTAAACATTTCAACTTATAAACAGTACATATTCAAAATGGGATGATACATATGTGCATTTCGGAAGGTCCCGCAGAGTTGTCAACGTCTAAACTGCAACTATTATTCCATATAACCTTGTATACGCATAATGCTATATATACTACTAATGTAATGACTCGACTTCATAGGCCCCTCCTGGACAGATCAAAACTAACAGAATGTGCCTGATATATTATGATTGTGTATATGCAGATACACAGATACAAAACAATGGATCGAGGTTGACTTCGGTGCAAGCTATGCAATAGCGGGGGTTTCTACTCAAGGACGATCTGATGGTGCAACTTGGGTGACCAAGTACGAGGTCTACTACAGCAACGATGGGCGTACGTTCAACGCAATCTACCCTGCTCCAACAGACACAGTTCCACGTGTATTCGAGGGTAACTTTGATCGTAACACCCCACTCATGAACGTCTTCGCCGAAATCAATGCACGTTTCATAAGAATCAGACCAGTGGAATGGCATGAAGCTATCGGAATGAGGTTCAATGTCTACGGATGCCAGCTTCCTTCTGCCACCCCATCCGTACCAACTGGACTGACAGTGCCAACAGCTATTCCAACAGCTATTCCAACAGCTGGTCCCACAGTCGGACCTGTTTTCACGACCGCCCCATCTACCTCCTCCTGCATGTACTGGACACCCTGGGTCAACTCCAACACTCCAGATACCAACGGCGAGTATGAGTCGTTCTGGGACATGATGACCTCAGTGAAGATCTGTGACACCAAGTACGTCAAGAAAATGGAATGCAGAACAGCTGCTGCCAAAATACCGTTTGACCAGACTGGAGAAACAGGAGTCATGTGTAACCTTGACACCAAGTCCCTTGTCTGTATGAACACCGACCAGAAAGGAGGCAAAACTTGCTCCGACTATGAAATAAGAGTCTTCTGTGATGAATGCAGCAAGCCCACAGCAGCCCCATCAGCAAATCCTAGCATCCCCACTGCTGTCCCCAAGACATGTGACAACAAGTGGTCCGACTGGATCAACAGACACGAACCTGATGCTGTCGGTGAGTATACACTGTTCATATCAGTCATTCGTGAGGCAAAAGAGTCTATGCAATGGACCTTTGGGTATTCAGTATTTAACATTTGCTATTCACATAATCGATATTTGACTAAGTCTTACTTCGCTAGGTACAGAGTTGACATTTTCCAGCTATTGTCCCGAAAGAATCACGAGCTACTTATAATTGCTTTAGGAATGTGAGCGTTTTAAATTGCTTTGATATATACTCCAACAACATCACCATGCAAACAAGAAATGTGCTTAATCATTTGTACAAGTTCGTTATCGAATCCGTGTGCTTGGTGTGATGAGCCAACGTTTTAACCACTGGCGGTGCTACTTCTTTCATGTGAATTATATAATTGTTTCAGGTGAGACTGAAAAGGTGACGAAAGAAGACCTTGACAGACACTGCGCTGGTGGTTCTGTAGGAGAGGTCGAGTGCGACACAGTTTCGGACAACATGGCTTACTATCTCAGTGGTGATATTGTCAAATGTGATGCTCAAACTGGACTATCCTGCAAGCACAGTGACAACACACCAATGAAGTGTCATGACTACAAACTTAGATTCAAGTGCAAGTGTGAGAGTAAGCAAACTGTTTCTTTCAGTTTATTTCATCAATTTTATGTTTTTGTCATATAGCCATCAGGGTTTTTTCTGATAAGGCATTTTGTTCATATTCATTTCTGTATCACTCAAGCATTGAAATGTGATTGTAAATCTGTATGGGATATAACATGGATATATAATCAGCATAGATCTAAACCAATGAAAACGATGTAAAGTAAGGCAGTCTGTTGATTATGTCTCATCTTCTGTTAAGGTACACCAACAGCCAAACCTCCAACATCTGGCACAGAGGTTCCTTCCGTGGCCGGCTGTACAACTAGTCAATGGAGTTCTTGGATCAACCAGGACAAACCAGGCGTTGGTGGAGGAGACTACGAGAAGATCACGCCAGAGCTGCAGAAACAATACTGCTCTGGAGGAACACTCACCAAGATTGAGTGCATGACAGTCGATGGTATCGAATACTACAGCAGCGGTGAAGTAATGCAGTGTACAATGGCAGGTGGATTCACTTGCAACAATGCTGATAATTTCCCAATGCCTTGCAGTGATTACAAGATCCGATACTTCTGTGACTGTACAACACCAGTAACCACCGGAGCTCCAGGAATCGGAGGAAGTGGCACACCAACTGCCAGCCCCGGAATTGGAGGAAGCGTCACACCAACTGCCAGCCCCGGAATTGGAGGAAGTGGTAAACCAACTGCCAGCCCCGCAATTGCTGGAAGCGGTACACCAACTGCCAGCCCTGGAATTGGAGGAAGCGGCACACCAACTGCCAGCCCCGGAATTGGTGGAAGCGGCACACCAACTGCCAGCCCCGGAATTGGAGGAAGTGGTAAACCAACTGCCAGCCCCGGAATTGGAGGAAGTGGCACACCAACTACCAGCCCCGGAATTGGAGGAAGTGGTACACCAACTGCCAGTCCCGGAATTGGAGGAAGTGGTACACCAACTGCAAGCCCCGGAATTCAAGGAAGTGGTACACCAACTGCCAGTGAAAATCAGTGTACCAACAGCAGGTGGTCTTCGTGGATCAACAGAGATAATCCAAATGTTGGGGATGGCGATTATGAATCAATGACATCTGATGAGTTAACCAAATTATGTCCAGGAGGAAAAATTACTGAAGTCAAATGTGAAACTGTTGATGATATTCCGTCCTACAGTAGTGGTGAAATTATGACCTGCGACAAAAACCAAGGTGTCATCTGTAGAAATGAAGACAACTTCCCAATGCCATGTAGTGACTACAAGATCATGTACTACTGCCAATGTGCACCAACTGCTTCACCCCCTACAGGTACAGCAGGTACACCAACAGCCAGCCCCATCGTAGGACAGAGTGGTCTTCCCACAGCAACTCCAGGTGTTACAGGAAAGAGCGGTGTTCCAACAGCCAGCCCAAGTGCAGGACAGAGTGGTCTTCCCACAGCCAGTCCAGGTGTTACAGTGAAAAGCGGTGTTCCATCAACCAGTCCAAGTGCAGGACAGACTGGTCTTCCAACAGCAACTCCAGGTATAGGACAAACTGGTGGTCTTCCCACAGCCATGCCAGTTGTTACAGGAAAGAGCGGTGTTCCAACAGCCAGTCCAAGTGCAGGACAGAGTGGTCTTCCAACAGCCAGCCCAGGTGTTACAGGACTAAGTGGTCAGCCAACAGCCAGTCCAAGTGCCGGATTGAGTCGTCAACCAACAGCAGTCCCCACTGTCACATCTTGTTCCCAAAGTCATTTCTCCAACTGGGTGAACAGAGACTTGCCAGAGTCAGGAAATGGAGACCATGAATTCATGACTCCTGATGAGTTGTCTTCATTCTGTAAGGGAGGCCAGATTACCAAGATTGAATGTTATACTAACGATATCCCATCCTACAGCTCTGGAGAACTTTTAACTTGCGACCTGAAGAATGGCCTCACTTGCAACAATGCAGACAATGCCCCAGTGCCATGCTCCGACTACAAGGTCCGCTATTTCTGCGACTGTAGTGGTGAGTAATCTGAATTGTGATCTAACAATAACATACATTGATTACACATATTACAGTGGCAGGGGGCACGGGAGAGCTCCAGTCGTCTAAGACGCTGCAATTCGCTGTACAGAGGTGTGTCCCTTGGGCATGCCAGAAACCTATGATCGTGGGTTGTAATCCGATTCGACCCGATTCTGTTTCCATGTTTGTCAGCACCATACCCGTGGGTTTCACCAAAGTGGTAAACGTCTGAGGTATGCATCAGTTCGGTGTTTTTCCTCTCACATTAGGCTGACACGCCATAATATACATTTTCAAATCTCCTCAAAACACTCACTCACTCACTCACTCACTCACTCACTCACTCACTCACTCACTCATACAGTTGGCAACAACATTTATATGTCAATGTAAATGCCTATGAGCTTTATTCCATTATTTTCTTTCTAGGAACTCCGCAGGTGACATTAACACCACCCAACAAGATGCTTGCTATCCGATGTGACTGGTCTCCGTGGATCAACATTGACACTCCAGACTCAGGCCATGGTGACATGGAAACCATTGACTCCATCAAGACTAAGCATGGCGTCTGCAAGAACATGAAGCAGATCGAGTGCAGAATTGCTGGCACAAACACGATGTCAAGTGCGGCTGGTCAGAGCAGAGTCACCTGTGATGTGGACAATGGTCTTCGTTGCTACAACAACGAGCAGCTGTCTTCCAAGTGTTACGACTATGAAGTTAGGGTTCTCTGTTGGGAAGACACATGCAAGGGTACATATACACAAGGAGTCAAATTTCCTTCATTTCTTCCAAAACTCCCGTTGCACATCACTGATTTTCAGTGACCCATTCATGTAATTATTACTGGTTATTCTCTGGCTTTGGCGTTATATATTCTGTTATAACTGTTATATGTTTCTTTATGGGTCTAAATCTTAGATCGCCTATAAAGAAAATAACACCAACCCACATGCTAGAATTGTAAGCAAGCATATTATTGTGATATCATGATCCAATTTTTCAGTATTAACTGTTCCGTTCTCCAGGTCCAATACCAACTGCAGGTCCAACAGGTGCTCCCCACATCCACACTACAGGCGTCGTCCACGTGTCAACTCATGTCACAGGCAGTTCATACATACACACGACCGTTGCTCCCCTGGAGAGAACGACGACTGGTATGTTGATTCACAGAGGAAGCGGCTGCTGGGCGCAAAATATCGCCTCCTATGTAAACCTACATTTAAATGGTCGCAAATAATTTACATAGAGTCCTTGGGGAGGCAATATAGCTTGGCTCTTTTTTATCTAAATTGTAGATCGCATATTACATGACTTATCAATGTTTATTTATCATGCCATGTTAGAAAGTACCTTAGAAAGAAATCTGAGTAATCTCCTCATATAAATTGTAATACGGTACTTGTCCTATGGACCTGTGGCCTTTCAGTATTGGGAATATAACGCTATATGATCCATGAATGATCCCCAACCTGAAGATTGTCCTTACTGATTCTTGGCAGATGGCCCTTTTTCAAATATCCATTAATTTATTCACCATGCAAATCCACAGTATGCTTTTACGGAACCCAGATCCTTCTGGAATGACAGTAGAGGGGATTATTCAGTTGAATGTGGAATAATTTGTCTTCCCAGCTGTGTGTCCTCCTGGAGAGATGTGGAATGCCTGTGCTCACACCTGTGACCAACTCTGCAACGCTGTGTCTGGGGATATCTGTGACGGCACAAACCCTCAACAATGTGTTCCAGGCTGCAAAGATGAGACAATCACCGTTCCTAAATGTGCTGATGGCGAGAGACTCAATTACAATGGCCAATGTCTGAAGGCAGAGCTCTGCCCATGCAAGAAACCAGATGGTACAATTGCTAAGGTAGGGTTCCATTCTCTGATATGCGTGATTTGAGTCATCTTGCGTTTTTGACACCTTTAAAAAAGTCAATGAGGCAGTTGTAAGGAAAAGTGTCTTGACTCGAAACAGCATAACATTATCCAAACAGAAACAAAAAGATTTATGATGTTATTCTTCATGAAGACACATTATAAAAGTTGTCATGTGTAAAATAAGGCCAAATTAAAAACAACATTACATGTAATCTTCTAAAATACTAGTTCTAATTTCCATTTCGATAAAATCCCAGCCTCTCTTTGCCCCCACACCAACAAAAGAATATCAAATGGTCAGTTCATTAACAATTGAAGCATGTTGCTCCAAAAATACCGCTATGCATACGTAAAACATCTAAGTATATTTGTTGTTCAGCCCTTCGAGTTCTACAAGAACCCACTTGATGAGTGTTCAATGTGCCACTGCTTCAACAATGCTGAAGCCTGCACAAAGGATGAAAGCTGCGTCCCTACAGCAGGACCGTCTGTTCAGCCAACCATTCAACCAGAATGTCATTGGACCAACTGGATCAACGTTGACAAGCCAACAACTGGCGATGGTGATATAGAATCGATTCTGAAGCTGAGAACCACCAACTCCTTCTGTGCTCATCCACTGAGCATTGAATGCCGTGAAGTATCCACTAAGACTACAGCAATGGAGTATGGACAGAAGGTATCCTGTGACCTCACAACTGGTTTCACCTGCTACAACTGGGAGAACAGTGGCAAATGCGGGGACTACGAGGTCCGCTTCTATTGTCCATGTGCATGTGAGTCCATATTTGACAGTTATCACTTTTCATGTTTGACCAATTTATTTTTCTAATGGTTGTCAATGATGTTCGTGGTTATGTATTCTAATATGTGTTGAATACTTGATGGGTAACATACAGATAATGAAATGAGGAAGATGTTATGACTCTTAATAACACTAATTTGTGATTTCAGCAACCGTATCTCCATCAACTAGACCATCAGGACTCCCAACTGCCTCCCCAAGCGGACAATCTGGACTCCCAACTGCCTCCCCAAGCGGACAATCTGGTCAACCAACTGCCTCCCCAAGCGGACAAACCGGCCAGCCAACTGCCTCCCCAAGCGGACAATCTGGTCAACCAACTGCCTCCCCAAGCGGACAAACCGGCCAGCCAACTGCCTCCCCAAGCGGACAATCTGGTCAACCAACTGCCTCCCCAAGCGGACAAACCGGCCAGCCAACTGCCTCCCCAAGCGGACAATCTGGTCAACCAACTGCCTCCCCAAGCGGACAATCTGGTCAACCAACTGCCTCCCCAAGCGGACAAACCGGCCATCCAACTGCCTCCCCAAGCGGACAATCTGGTCAACCAACTGCCTCCCCAAGCGGACAAACCGGCCAGCCAACTGCCTCCCCAAGCGGACAATCTGGTCAACCAACAGTTTCACCTCCATTCTGTGGATGGTCGGCGTGGACTAACTCTGATCATCCCGATGTTATTGTTCCCAATAAGCCATTCGAAGGTGATATCGAATCAATTGCTTCTCTTATGACCAAAACCACCGTCTGCAGTCACGATATGATGAAGCGGGTTGAATGCAGAGTAGCAGGTACCAAACAGATGGCATCTGCGGCTGGTCAGTCGATCACGTGTGATGCAATACGTGGTCTCCGGTGTAACAATCTGAAACAAATTGATGGAAAGTGTCTTGACTACGAAATGAGAGTGTTCTGCGACTGTTCCACTTTACCTACTGCACAGCCAAGCATTGGACCAAGTAGCCTCCCAACAGCCAGCCCAAGTGCAGGGCAGAGTGGTGTTCCCACAGCAAGTCCAGGTGTTACAGGAAAGAGCGGTCAACCAACAGCCAGTCCAAGTGCAGGACAGAGTGGTCTTCCAACAGCCAGTCCAAGTGTTACAGGAAAGAGCGGTCAACCAACAGCCAGTCCAAGTGCAGGACAGAGTAGTCTTCCCACAGCCAGCCCAGGTGTTACAGGAAAGAGCGGTGTTCCAACAGCCAGTCCAAGTGCAGGACAAAGCGGTCTTCCCACTATCACCCCAGGTATAGGACAGACTGGTCTTCCAACTGCGGTGCCAACTGTCTGCGGATGGACAAAGTGGATGAATAGTAACACACCTGACAATACTGGTGAAATGGAATTGCTTGCAAATCTCAGACAACAGTTCCAATTTTGCCACACTGAAGATATCACAGCTTTAGAATGCAGAGACAGCAACACACATAAATCCGCCTCGGAATCTGGCCAGGTTGGTGTAACATGCGATATGAAATACAGCGGTCTAATGTGCAGTAACAATAAGCAGATGGTAGGAGGCACATGTTTTGATTATGAAGTAAGAGTGTTGTGTGAACCAAAGGGTGTTGATTGTTCTAAAGTACCAACAGCCATTCCGACCGTAGGACAGAGTGGACTTCCAACTGCCAGCCCAGTAGTAGGACAGACTGGTCTCCCCACGGGTACACCAAGTATTCTTGGACAACCATCAATCAGCCCTAGTGCAGCACAGAGCGGCCTCCCAACAGCCAGTCCTAGTGCAGGACAGAGCGGACTTCCAGGTGTTACAGGAAAAAGCAGTCAACCAACTGCCAGCCCAAGTGCAGGACAGAGTGGTGTTCCCACAGCTAGTCCAGGTGTAACAGGAAAGAGCGGTCAACCAACAGCCAGTCCAAGTGCAGGACAGAGTGGTCAGCCAACCGTTAGTCCAGGTGTAACAGGAAAGAGCGGTGTTCCGACAGCCAGTCCAAGTGCAGGACAGAGTGGTCTTCCAACAGCTAGTCCAGGTGTTACAGGAAAGAGCAGTGTTCCAACAGCAAGTCCAAGTGCAGGACAGAGTGGTCAACCAACAGCTACTCCAGTTATAGGGGAAAGTGGTCAGCCAACAGCCGGCCCACCAGGTGTTACAGGAAAGAGCGGTCAACCAACAGCCAGTCCAAGTGCAGGACAGAGTGGTCTTCCAACAGCCGGTCCACCAGGTGTTGTAGGAAAGAGCGGTGTTCCAACAGCTACTCCAGGTGTTACAGGAAAGAGCGGTATTCCAACAGCGAGTCCAAGTGCAGGACAGAGTGGTCAACCAACAGCTAGTCCAGGTATAGGGGAAAGTGGTCAGCCAACAGCCGGCCCACCAGGTGTTACAGGAAAGAGCGGTGTTCCAACAGCCAGTCCAAGTGCAGGACAGAGTGGTCTTCCAACAGCTACTCCAGGTGTTACAGGAAAGAGCGGTATTCCAACAGCGAGTCCAAGTGCAGGACAGAGTGGTCTGCCCACAGCTATTCCAGGTGTAACACAAAAGAGCGGTCAACCAACAGCCAGTCCAAGTGCAGGACAGAGTGGTCAGCCAACAGCTACTCCAGGCTTAGGGGAAAGTGGTCAGCCAACAGCCAGTCCAAGTGCAGGACAGAGTGGTCAGCCAACCGCTAGTCCAGGTGTAACAGGAACGAGCGGTGTTCCAACAGCCAGTCCAGTTGCAGGACAGAGTGGTCTTCCAACAGCCGGCCCACCAGGTGTTACAGGCGGAAAGAGCGGTCAACCAACAGCCAGCCCAAGTGCAGGACAGAGTGGTCTCCCAACAGCCAGTCCAGGTATGAGTAATCACCGTCTCTTCTTCATGGTGTTATGTATATAATTGATTATACGTCTACTTTTCATCGAGATTTAGTTGTATCCCACTAAATTCTAGGCTCAGTATTAAAGCTACATATTGCTTCCACATCTTCCAGTGTTTGGATCATCATCCAGTGTAGCCCCAGGCATGCAGACAACAGCAGTTGTTGGCCAAACCACAACACCTGTGCTTAGTAAGTATTTTTTGAAAATATCTGCATTGTATAAATAACTCATCTTTCATGTCTGCCACACATCTCAGCACGTGTTTCATAGTTTGAATAAAACTATTTCTCTCCTTCAGTCTGCCCTAATCCCATGACCAACACTGCTGCGCTTGAAGTTCCGGACAATCATCTTAGTGCATCCTCCAGCCTCTCTGAGTATGCAGGACCACAGAGATCTAATATTGATGCAGTTTCCGATAAAGTCAACATCGGAGCTTGGATGCCCAAGACAATGGACAAAGGACAATGGATTGAAGCCAGATTTGACCACCCTGAATATATCAATGCTATTATCACCAAAGGACGGGAAGGATCGTCCCAATGGGTGAAGGCATTCATGATCGCTTACTCAATCGATGGCAAGACCTTCCAATACTATGAAAAGTCTGCTGGCTCTCCTAAGGTACTGTTCTTACGACTCAGCCACCAATACTTTGTATGTATGCTACTTCTACGTGAGTATTAAGATAATCTTAAAACTCACATTTGTGTAGTGCAACGAGCAGTCACCAAGGGAATTGAATTTGGTTTAGTTAACTCTTTACGCTGCCTTTGCAATTTCTGGCACCAACAGGTGTTTCTGTTAAAACATCATGCAAACGGGCACGTAAGTTATAAACGACTCTATATGCACTGATGTACAATACAGTCTGATTAAGAAAAATATCAAGATAACATAAACAGTACTCTGTGCAAATATGTGTGACATTAATGTTTAAAACAATGTTTGACTTTTTTTTCCTTTCTTATTGAACAGTTGTACAATGTAATGTCAATATGCATGACATGTGGTTAATAATATAGATATTTGTGGCATGTGTACCCATAGGTGTATCAATTCATTGGTTGTCTCGCCAGATCTTCAACGGAAACTTTGATGGCGACAGTGCAGTGAGAACAGTGTTGACACCAATTGTTGCTAGGTACATCAGAATCCAGCCAGTTATATGGGAAGGCGCAATCGCTCTCAGATTCAGCATCATTGGCTGCAGGGGTAAGCTATATAGGGTACTTTATAATGGCGGTAAAGCAGCCTAGTTACAAGCATTCTTCCTTTATATAATAAACGAGTTAAGCACAATAAGCACGTACTATTCAAACTATACGATTCCATCGCATCTTTTTTTCCTGTAATCGTTAGTTGGGATTTGCATCGCTATGAAAATCATTTCATTCATACCTTATCGTTGATGTTAAATATTGGAGGAAAAGCTGATTTTAATGCGGGTATTTGTGTGTTTACATGGGCACGGACATGGTGCTGACATGCCAAGGAATATATTCTGGATAAAACTTATTTTCGAACCAATGATCCTGTTTGACTCAGGAAAGGAATTGGGACACTCATGCCTTGTTTCTCTCAATATGTAATGACACACTGTATATCTGAGTATGCAAGACATCAAGACACCATCTGCAATCTCAGTTGCAATGAACCCTGTTCCTTGTAGCTCCCGAGGAAGTACTTCCTACCCTGGTGCCCTCTGCTGGTCCTACTGCTGCGCCCCAACAGTCCTGTGTGACAAGCACCTGGTCAGCCTGGGTCAACACCAACAGGGCCACAGATGGACAACATGAGTTCATGACCGAGCAGCAGCTCACTGTGAGTATGGGCGATATTGGTCAATCCATTCCAAATTAATCTCCTGGTGTATTTGACAGGGTACGTGACGTAATTGAGAGGTTAAATTGGGTTTATGAAAGGGGTACATGATGTGTTTGAAATGGGTCCTTGATGAGTCAGTGGGTGAGTGGGGTGAGTTTAACGTTGCTTTGAAGAGTGTTTCAGTTATATCACGGCGTGTCAGCTTCGTGTTATATTAGATTGGGAAGGGGCCGAGGCAAAATCCCCAAGCACGGGTATGGTGCTGACAAACCTAGAAACAGGGAGGCTGCATGACGTATTCAGGAGGATACATGAACTATTTTGGAGGGTGTATAATGTATTAAGGAGGGTGTATAATGTATTTGGGAGGGTGTATGATGTATCTGCTGCCTTGTATTCCAGGAATTCTGTCCCAGTGGTAAGGTCGACAAGGTGGAATGTGAGACTGTTGATAAGATTCCATCCTACAGTACTGGAGAAATTGTGCAGTGTACAGTTGAAAAGGGTCTCGTCTGTAAAGACGGAGACAACGCCCCCATCCCCTGCAGTGATTACAGAGTCAGATACCACTGCGACTGCTCCGGTACGTTACACCTTACCCGTGGTTACAAATACTTATATCTAAAAAATAAAACAGCACCATTGCCAATATGAGTTTCAGATGTTACGATTACTTGTTATATGCGTGACCTGATAAACAAAAGAAACAATTACCATTCATAGGCGTACCAACAGCTAGCCCAGGTCAAACCGGAAGTGGCCTCCCAACTGCAAGCCCAGGACAAGCCGTAAGTGGAACCCCAACAGCAAGTCCCGGAGTTCAACTGACAGCAAGCCCAACACCAAACATACCAGGTAAGTCAATTCTATACCTTGACTTATTTTATTGAGGCCACGGGTGGTCCAGTCGTCTGAGGTGAGTTGTGTCCTTGGGCACGCCAGAAACCTATGATTGGGAGTTTCACCAAAGTGGTAAACGTCTAATACCAGCATCACTTCGGGATTTCCTCCCACCTGAAGCTGACCCACCTTGATATAACTGGAATAAAGTTCCAAGCGGCGTTAAGCCCAACTCCCTCACTCACTAACTCACTAATATTATGAACACACAACTATGTCATTCAACAACGCAAATGTGGTATCTCCTTCCCGCAGTCCCAATTGAAACCATCACATCGAGACATAACAAGACATCATGCTATAACCCATTCTCTCCGTATGTGTAGCTGGATGCAGAGAAGAAATGGGTATGGCAAACGGCATCATCCGCAACGACATGATCTCCGCCTCCTCCTACCGCGACGGCCTTCACTCCGCCATCAGTGCACGTCTTGGAGGAAACAGTGCCTGGTTGGCCGCCACTGAGAACAAGAACCAGTACATCCAGGTCGACTTCCTTGCTCCCAGGATCATTACCGGGGTCACCACTCAGGGCCGCCCGACGGCTCCCAGCTACGTGACCTCCTACAAGGTGTTCTATTCCTACGACGGTGCCAACTGGAATGCCTACAGAGAGACCAAGGGAGAGGATATGGTGCGTAAATGGGGATCAGGTTACTGCTTTGTGGTGGAATAAGGCTACAATTATTCATTTAGATTTTCATCCTAAGCTTCCAAGAATTTGATTCAGGCGGCTTTGTTTATATAATACTATGGAAGTCATATGTGGATATCAAATGACGGATATGATTACGCAAACAATGTATTGGTGTATTTCATCAAGTAAAAAAGAAATAGTCCACTCATCATAGTGTTCTCATCGGATATATATAATGCGAGCTTAATCACTATTAATGTATATTAGTCGCCAACAACAAGCAAATCTTCAAAAAGACAATAATTATTAAAAATGCAAAATAGTGGTGTTGAGTCTACACAAATACTCAGTTTATTTTTCATTGTCAGATGTTCTCCGGCAACTTCGACAACCTGACTCCCGTGACCAACACCTTCATGACGCCAATCCGAGCCCGCTATATCAGGATTAGTCCTCAGACATGGAGCGGCATGATCGCCCTGAGGTTCGAGATCCACGGATGCTTCGAGAGCTATCCAAGTAAGTGATGCAGAACACTTCTGTTATGTAGAGAAGGCACTGGTGCTCCAGTGTTCTGAGGCGCCGCCATCCTCTAGTGCAGAGTTGTGTCCCTTAGTTGATTTGATCCGCTGGTCGTGGAGTCGAATGGCAGGTTCATTCCGAATACGACTCTTGGTTTGTAAACACCATTACCAACGTGTAGCAGTTGGAATCATAGGTTTATTAGAGGTTAACGTTATTCTCTGTAACAAGGATATTCATTTTCCAAAATGATCATTATCGGACTGTAATATTTGGTGAAATATGCGTTCAAATAGACAAACAGAAGAAGTATCATGTAAAGAAGGTCCTTCAGCTATTTTCACCTTCGATCAAGGGTTGTGTCACGAACATAATAGTTTTGTCTTCAGTTGTCTATAACCATGAATTTATTTTACTAGCCATGTCGCCTACACCAGTGAACCCGCTCAAACCAACAGCCTCGCCCCTGCCGGGCAGTTCCTCCACCGCTGTACCCCCACAAGTCCAAACAGTCACACCCTTCCTTCCAGGTAGGCATCGGTGAGGTAGCCTCTTGGTTAAAGCGTTCGTGTGATATGCCAAAAAAACTTGGGTTGAACTCCCGTCATGAACAAAATGTGTACAGCCAACGTCTTCATGTCACCAATGTATAGTTGAAATATTGCTAAAAGCGCCACAAAACCATACTCACTCACTTATTAAAAATCTTCATCTTTCTTAAGCCGGATGTGTTACCTGGGACAAATGGATCGATCTTGGCCACGTGACGCTTACATCTAATGGCGACCGCGAGCCAATCGAGGAGGTGAAGAAGGCATCATTAACATGTCAGCAGCCCATGAGCATCGAGTGCCGAACCGCCACCCCCGACCACACCGCTTCCGGAGAAACGGGGCAGAAGGTTACCTGTAATCTGTGGGAAGGTCTCGTCTGTAACAACGCTGACCAGAAGGAACCTATGTGCTTTAACTATGAAGTCAGACTTGGCTGTCTGAAACAGACCCCAGAATGCTGTGAGTATTGACCAATGATCTATTTATTGGGGCCTAAGGCCTGATTTTCTGATTGATGAAAAAACTGGATTTGTAACCACAGTTCACCAAGACATTGATGACATATCTCGGAAAGGGGCCTATCTTATCCATCGACCTACTATTGTTCTTTCCCTGTTGTTCAGGCACATATTATTTAACTTCCTTCTATATGATGGTGGGTTCAATTCTCGATTCGCCAAATTATGTCCCTTGATTTGTCGGCATCATACCCGTGGCTTCACAGAGCCGTAAATACCGAAGCCCTACCTCACTTGACCTTCCACATTTAGCAGACACACCGTGACACAACTGAAATACCATTGATTGTTAACCCAACTCACTATATTCGATCTCTTCCAGTGTCTAAGATTCCCACCGCCACACCCACCGCCGGCCCATCCGTCTCTCCCCCCATCAATGTCATCCCCTGCTACACAGGAATGGACCTGAGTCAGTGCCCCAAGGAGGGATGCTCCAACGGCTACTACTGCGACGGAGTCCAGTGTGTCAAGAAGGCCGAGTGTCCGTGCATGATTGATGGTCAAGTTGTCCTGGTAAGTATCCCCAACTGCTTCCGTTGAGGCATGTTTTGAAATGAAACTGGATAAAAGATGATTCACTGAAGCGGCCAGACTTTGGCAAAGGAGTAAATTTCTACTTCCAATCCATCCACAGCCAGCATCTTAGGATCTTAGGACACTTAAACGAGATGATTAAATGAATCACATACATAGATCATGATTTAAAATTTAAATTCATCATCAGAACTTTTCTGTGTGTTTCCCATTGGGAGTCCGTGGCAAATAAACTAAACAGAGGACTGGTTGGTCACAATATGAGACCGAGATGAGACTGTTGCATCGTACCCCTGACGGCATGGATCGTTGCCCGTGCATCCAGCAACTGGTGTATCTGGCCTATATATTCGAATATTTACGATCCTCGTGGTGTAGATGGAATACTATGTCGTAAAGCATTATTCAGCATCACCACCGATCAGGAGGTCCGTGGTTCGAATCCCATCAAGGAACACGGACATTTTATGGCCGCTATATATGCATTATTCATTTCTTTGTCCAGCCTGGTCAAATCTCCCAAAACAGCAACTGCGACACCTGCCAGTGTGTCCATGGAGAGGTCAAATGTCTGCCCAAGACCTGCTCACCCTGCAAAGAGGTCAGTATTTGTAACAGTGAACTATAAAGATTAATGCTTTCTTTTCAATCGTTTTCATCACAACTTCGCATAACTTTAAGGCATAATAATATATATCCTTGTTTATGACTATATGTCCAAAAAGGTTTAAACCTTGATGTCACGGTTTGAACATATATGACTAAAATATTTCGTCTTTTTTCTCACAGGGTCTCTCAACCGTTTTGGATAAGGATACATGCGAGTGCGAGTGTGAGACATGCGCAATTGGAGACTTCCGTTGTGGAAATGGCCAATGCATCCCTCACTCTGCCAGATGTGATGGTGTCGCTGATTGTACCACTGATGAGTTCGAATGCAGTAAGTTATCCAAATATGATCTCGAGCTTTCCATTGCCTCGTTATTTCACAACAACATTGAGGAAAACATGTTCATCAATTTCCCCTGTTGGTGTCTCCAGCAACAATAACTATCGCAAGGATTTCTCACTGACGTGTCTTGTATGTTTTAGTGTCCACCCCTATCTTCACACTGCCGAGCACCCATCCACCGTCACCAACAATGCCAGGAACAGCTGCGCCCACGTTGACAACAAGTCATTTCAACGACATTATCACCCCATCTGTCAAGATTGGTAAGTAATCGTACTTTATATATGTATGTGAGTAAAACTTTATTTTGTACTCATAAAGAACCCCACTTAAAGAAACGCCCGCAGCAAACGTTTTTCACATTTTCAAGCAACTTGTTCAAATATTTAGATACTTTGATTAGAAAATATAGTTTCTTGGAAGCCACGTTTATTTCCTTGAGACAAATGTGACTACGACAGTGAGCTATGTGATATCATACCCATGTAGCTGATATAGCAAATATATCTGTTTAAGTAATTCCTGTATCTGACAGCAAGGTGTAAAATAAATACCCATAATGTTACAGTGACAACAGGCATTGTGCCCAACACCACCGTCCACCTACCACCACACGTGCCTACTCCAAGTAAGTCGGATGTTTGATATAAACAATAATATACGTGTGTTGCCATTGAATTTGAAACAGATACGATTCCAAAAGAATACTCTTAAAAAACGAAACTATTTAGTAAGTGGTGTTTTTGTCCAGGTGTATCTCCCTTGTTAACCAAACTGTTATCGCACTTTCCTCATTTGGCTTAAGGTTTGAGAATATTTTCTTTTCTGAATCTGCTCTCACTAATATTGTCGGGTTATCATATGATTACCAATACCATGACCACTAGAGACGATTTTGTCCCCAACGTCTTCACGTATCACAATCAAACACGGCACATAATCTGCTGTTTCAGCTGCCTGTGTCGATGTCAAGTGTTCTCCCCTTGTTCAGCCTCCACTGAACCAGGGTGAGGTCGCCAAGGTCATCAAGAGCCCGGATGGTTGCTGTGAGGAGTATCTGGTTGTCTGCGAGCCACGTCAATGCCCAACCATCTCCAAGGATTGCATGAAGCCCGAGGTCCTCACCATGGTCGACAGCGGCGAGAGGTGTTGCCCGGAGTACACTTGTGGTGAGTTTTCTGTTCCTAACGGACTCTCCGAATGATAAGTCAATTAGAAAAAGAAATTCAACGGGGACACATTATATTTCCAAATGGTATAAAAACGGTAATTTGCAATCGTATAAGAAGTATGAGGGTTTGTGATGTCATTTCTTTTCTGTTTCAGTGTGTCCACCAAAGTGTCCAGTTCCTGCACAACCACCATGTGCTTTCGTAAGTTCAAACAACCATTTAGAGTTGTGACCAATGCCTGCAATGCTTTGTATGTTTCGTTTAAAACAAAGCTTCGGCTGAAAGCTATAAGCGCTTGTAAATGCAACACCTCACCTGGGACTAGCCTAAATGGCTAACGTAATGACACTGCTTTGTTTCAGGGATCCCAGGTTGTGGACATCTTTGGTGGCTGCAACTGCACAACCAAGGCATGTGGTAGGTACAATTAATAATACTTGGCAATCAGAATTATGTTTATACTTATGATTGTATTATTTTTTAACGAGAGTAAAACAACTATTGATACTGAATATGTTCCCAACTGTAATGCATCGTTTATTAATAACATCACGATGTTTATGCTTCGTATTTCGCAGGAAAAAAACAATTTCAATGCTAAGACTTGAAAAAAACAAAGGGTTGCACGTTCGGGGATTTCCAATGACATCAATTATTAGTTTTCTTGACAATAATATACTTACATCCCTGTTTATTAAATGAAAAGTATTTTCACATACTAGCATCAAACCTATGTGGTTCTATTGATGTTCTTGAACAGCAGGTTCAGGATATACTACAAATATTATTCTTGTCCCTCAGTTGCCGGCACTACGAGTCCCTTCCCCGTGGTGACCACGGCCGTCACCATCCCCGTCTGCACATACTCAATGACCAAGGTGGTGACCAATGGTAAGGAGGTGGACCGCCCCAGGCCAGTCGAGGTGACCCACACTGTTGGTCAGCAATGGGCGGATGGCCTGTGCAAGACCTGCCAGTGTGTCAACACCACCAGCGGTACTGCAGAAACAACATGCCATGAACAACAGTGTCCTGCTTGCAAACTGGTTAGTGCCCTGACAAGTTCTTGCAATTGGGTATAGTGAAAGTTTACTCGAAGTCATAGACACCGTCAAAACGTATGGAATTGTCCCTATTTTCGTGACAAGTGGAATTTCGATTTGAGGACATTGTGTTGGTAATTATTGGGCCAGTACAATGACGTTAAACCGTTTAAACTATATATCGAGTTAATAGGATATCACCATTTAAAGACTTCATTTGATTTTGATTAGTCTGTTTGCAGTGTCCCGATAGCTTGTTAGCCATGACGTGGTACAATGTGGACATATGATCTGCTTGTAGCCTACTTAAACATTAATTAATACAAGATTCAAATGTTTATTCAAATCCGTCGTTGCCTTATTACGCAAGGTCGTGACACACAGACTGCGACAATGCATTAACCCCGCCCTTTACATCCACAGGGAGAGGAGAGACGCACCACCGACGGCACCTGCTGTGGTGAATGTATGAAGACTGGTTGCGTTGACAGCGGCAAAGTTTACAAAGTACGTCAAGGCAACTTTAAAAAATACATCTCTTATAAACAACAGGACCCCTTTGAATCTTATACTTAAGTGTAACCGTTTCAGTAAAATGTATCTCATATCCGAACGTTACTTCAGTTAAAATGTTCTATAGAATATATGAAAACTAATTACCATATTTATTACTATATTTAACAGCAAGGGGAGAAGATCCCATCTTCTATGAAGTGTTTCGAAAAGATGTGTACAGTGGACATAATGACGGGCGACTTCATCCTCCAGCAGACCCAAATACAGTGTGAAAGTATCGACAAGTTGCCAGTGTGCACAGGAGTACGTATAAGAACCAAGTGGTTGTATTAAGTGGCACTGCCAAAGCAGTGAGTTATGAGTTTTAGATGCATCGGCAATGTTCAAGACATATTATGGCGATAGAGACCAGCATCGTTCTCATGTAGGGAATCGAACCCGGGTGTTCGATATGACGAGCGAGTACTTTTACAAGCAGGCTACCCCACCAACCCCTTGTCAAATAAGCACTATGTTGTTAGATATGTCCATATATCCCTGGTGCCATGGGAAATTGGGTCAAATATTGCAATATCTATTCGTTTGCCACGTATTCAAGCGTCACTATGATCTCAAGTTAGTTTCGATATATAGAATGAAGTATATAAATGTCCATGTATTTCATCCGTGTCCTTTGTATTCTGTGTTTGCAGAGCGAAAAGGCCTACGATTCTACTGGATGTTGTCTCAGATGTGTGCCTACAGGTGGGTGCTTGATAATGCCATACATGTAGTAATTGCAACGATTGGTCATGCCTGGATAAGACATTATGGTACCGTCACAGAATTGAGAACATTAGTATGGTATCATTACAAAAGATTCGAAGAGCATTTTGCATTGTTTGATTGTACCACTTTGTTCTCTCACAGTGAGTGAATGGGTTCCAATAAGATCTGCTTGAACAACATTCAACTGTGTCACATCATGTCACCAACACCATCATAAAATGAATCTTGAAAGAAGTAAATTTGGGATTCGAACCCATGACCAAGTGTTACTGGCAGAACATACATTACAGAGTCGAGTTGTATGAATATATCTAAAAACTGTCCTCGGACATGAAAATCAAACCAGGTGTCTCCGAGACATTCGAACATATCTTGGTTACGAAAGTCCATGGTGTGCTTCCCATAGACATTATATCATTCACTGGTTTGTCTGGTCTTGTGTTGAATATTTAGGTCGCCATCATGTACCTGAAATATTGCTGAGTTAAGCGTTGAACAACAAATACAGCAAGCAGCTTATCGACTGTTTGAAACGTGTCCTTCCTATCACAAACTTGATTCATGTATTTGCAGATATGGTGCCAACCAACTCCTCCAACTCGGTATGCCAGAGTTGCACTCCCAGACTGATGTTCGGACAAGTCCAGCAATCCATTGGCTTCTTCAAGGTCAATGACGAGGGTGAGGTTTGCTCTAACGTGGAACCAATCCCAGAACTCAAGGAATGTGCAGGATATTGTGGCTCTACTTCAAGTTACACCTCACTCATGCGCGGCTTCGACAACAAATGCCTATGTTGCCAGCCAGCCAAGACGGTAGCCAAGTCTGTCCAGCTTGTTTGCGGTACTGGCAGGAAGATCACCAAGACCTACAACGTACCGGAAACATGTGGCTGCAGCGCATGCTCAAATGGAGCATAATCTCAAACCCACTTCCGCTTAAGGCCTGTGAAAGTGACACAAAAGAGGTGCAATCCTCACCATTCCCGTGTGACAACATGACATAAATGCAAAAACTATTTATTCATCAACTTGTGATTACAATGCTCAAAATGATTTATGTTTAAGTTTTAGTCTCAAAATGAAACTGTACATATATATGTTATACATTTTCTGTGCAATGTTCTGAACCTGAACAAAAGAAAATACAAGTTGTTAATGTGTTCACCAATGAATATAACTGAATGTCTTACTAATGATATGTGCACTTTGTTTCAAGATGTTATACATATATTTATTGCAAAATCATGGTGAGGAAGTCAATAAAAGCAATATTAATTTACAAAATCTTTATTGTACTTTCGTAGGATAACCATACCATTCAAAACAAGTTTTATGAACACCCAAAATTGGAAGGCCAAGTGTTGCAAAGCCCACCAATCAGATTAACAAATTAACTATAGTCATATGAAAAAACGGGCGTTCTTTAACTTATTTAATGTTATATTAATGAAGGAATAGATGCTCCACAAATCGCGACAAAGGGGAAGCGATTGTTTTATGTTAAATAGTTAACTACCACCCCAGTTCACTAAAGAATTTTTTTTCGATCAGGTGTGGGGGATTTTAGTCACAACGATACAACAGCAGAAATGAAGGATGCATAATGTGGATAGTTGGATGGCTCAACACCTGACACACCCGTCCTAAAATATACATCATAATATATTTAGGAGATAGACATACTGTGTTTTCAATGTACAACTAGGTCACCTATAGATTCAAACGCGCTAAAACTGTTTATATCCATTCTACCATGGCTAAATAAAACACGAACTCTTTAGTGCTAGCAAATATATTGAGTGAAGCAGCATGGGTTGAGTCCAGTGTTTTGAGTGGGTTGTTGATTTGAATTACGGATTCAATGACAACAGCCTTTAAACAAAATATGGGCTTTATATGCTCAGGCAGTTAGCAAACTTTGCAAAGCTTTCGTTCTACAACGCACGTCACCATTATGACGTCATATCGCTCATTGTGACGCAAAGATATGACGTCAGAGTCGTATATAGAAAAGCGCCAAATTCCAAGCTCTCTGATGTCCCCAAAACTTAAAACACATTCTCTTTGTTGATTTTTATCGTGTTTTCTACACGAAATATATTGCCACACATCCTTTGAATTTTGCAGTAACCGCACCCTGTAATTGTGGGTTTAAAGTATTTGAATACGCCTACCGACAATGACTGAAAAAGTATTATTCTAGGAATATTAGCTTCCGCGGTGATGCAGCCGTCAAACCAGCTGTTTCAATCAGAGGGGGTTTATTGTGATTTAATAGCCTGTGGTTGACCAATCAGATTCGAGTAATTTCCAAATCCATGGTAGAATATGAATTTGTGTATCGCTCTTTTCAGTTCATAACTGCTCAAATGCGCTCACACCATGATAGGTCTTATTAATTCCCCGATTGTTGGATCATTGTCTACTCGATTGTAAATTTTGGACTCCCTTGGGAGTATTCAACCCATGCAGACTGCGCTTAAATGTTAACATTCACGTCACCATCTCCTACTCTGGTGAACAGAGGCATAATTCGAACGAAATCACTTGTGTTAGGAGATACCACGTTTTACATGTGATTCAGTGTAGGGAAGGGCCGAAGATCTAGAAACTCTCAGGAGTCAAGCTGCACGTGACAGGACAACAAAATGGATTTGCAAAAAACTATTTTTTTTCGGAACAAGTTTGTTTTAAATTTGACCAGACCAGACAGACGAGAGACAGATATACGGCCAGAGCGACAGGCAGACGATTGGACACAGGCATACGACCAGAGCGAGAGTCAGGCAGACGACACAGATATACGACCATTGAGACAACCAGATGACAGGCAGAGATACGACAGACGACGAGACAAACTAACGGCAGAAGACTGACCAGTGACAGTCAGACTTCAAGAGAGTCAGGCAGACGACAGGGTTGTGATGCATCAACAAAGTCAGCGAGCCTGACCACCCAATCCTGTTACCAAGTTGCTGAAGACCAGCTTTAACTCGCACCTTCACGGGCACCGGGTTCCGTATGACCTCATACTGAATATATTCTTGTGCTGTGTTACTGCAATTCAGCACTCTCTTTTTCATAAATTGTTAGTTCTGTTATTACTTGTGTATTTATGCTCGTGACTCCGAGTTAGTAGATTCTGTGTAAAAAAAAATGTACAGTTAACAAGAAACATAATTGTATCCATTACTGCTAAGATAATTACTTGTCCTACAAAGCATGATATTGCAATTTGTGTGGATACCACTTGACTAAATGTCGCGTATCAATAGCAAATAATTATCAGGTGTATGCACAAGTAGATAATTGTTTGATAGTTTATGTGCTCTTGATCCCACCGAATTAACCAAGGTCTCGCGTTCGGCGTTAAAGTCCATAGAGCACAGACAACATACGCGGATCAAGACACGTCCACTTTTTGAAACATGCTAATAATGCTAATGAACAAAAACTACACACCACTCTATCATTTTGCTGACGTTTAAAACAAATGTAACAATCAACCAAGTCACCAAACGAGACCATCCGATTTACTTATTCGCCTCACTCGACAAGCATACGTTTTTGCTCACCAGGGTTCCCTTCGGGAATAAAACTCGACCGCGTCAAGAAAACGAGTCTGACCACCCGATTCATTTAGTCGTACAACAAACACAGCTCGCTGGAGGTCAATTCTGACCCGGAATCACCAAGAGGTTGGAACCTGTGTGTCGAGATAGAACCATGTCGGAGTCGGCTTAATTTACGTGTTTTATAATCGCTGGTGTGTGATAAAAGATTGTTATACCCCGCAGTGAAAATCACCATGCCAGCAGTTTATAATTGTCTCATTATGTCTGGGTAATTGGATAACGCAATGTCCTGCAGTGATAATGACACAGTGACACTGATAATGTGCCGCCTATGATTGCAGTATATGTAAATATCGGCAGACACATTAAGTAACATACTACTTATGTCTTTGATTTCACAATGCATTTTAGAAATGCAGCCAACGTATTATTTTGGATTACACTTTGAAGAGAAGTACAAATTCTGGCACCTTTTTTGGTTGAGTCCCATCAATCGGCCACAAAAATGAAAGTCCGACAACTGGTTTTACTAGAAGGCATTGTGTATTCAAAGATTTCGGGCATGGGATACACTTATCAGAGGGATGCTCAAAGTACGTTATCTTGGCTACCAATTGTCGGTCTTCCATTATTGTGACTAAGTGGGTGAGATCCGAGACTTGGTTTACTGGCGATTAGGTGCCTCACTCTGGGAGTACGAGTTCGAATCCCGGATGGGACTCGGCCCAAAATAGTACTAGAATTTGTACTTTACTAAGAAAGTGTAATCCAAAATACATCATTGTTACATATGTCTCATAAACGCTGATATTATTGAATAATTATAAGACGTGTGTATTTTCTTTAATTTGTTTTCCTCCCTGCGATAACAATGGATGTCAAGATGATGACCACTGTATCTGGAATTAAGTGTTAACTTTGGTGCAGCAACTCTTGACCAGATAAACCCGTGGTTGATGGCGTGAGCACATTGGTGGTGTTTGATTGTGTCAGACAGACAGACAGACAGACAGTTTATTCAGTATGCAATGTCATATGGCCCACAGTACAGTTCAGTTTTAACAGATATATTAAAATCAACGTGATCTTAGTAAAGTATAATATATTCGGCTGAGTCTAAATACATGTTCCAAATACATTGCTAAAGATTTGATAACTTCTTCATTGGTCGAATTGAACAAATTGATCAGCAATTGATTGTCTTTATGTGTAATATAATAATTAGGTAGAAACTTTAATCTCGACGTTTTATATTTCTCACATATAAAAAGAACATGAAACTCGTCCACACAAAGGAAAATCCAGTATTAAATGATATGCTTCTTACATCAGACATCCAATTCGTTTTCACCATCTAATTGCTTAAGCATTTAGTAACATTGAAATGGGTACCTGTGAGCTTCCTTTTTTAATTCTTTTTTCCAATATTTAACAACACGCAGCTGGCTATGTACATATACTACAGCGACCAGTTTCACCAAGTACTGCCTTATTTGAAGCCTATTTAACAATGCATAAAAACTGCTTAAAATACAAAGTGTGAACTTTCTCAATGGCTTCAAAATACTTAATGCCCCATATTTCCGAGCCATACAACAAAATGGATAGAATTTAACCATCAAATGTCGAATTTGCTGTTGAAAATGAGATATATTTGTTTTCCTTGAATAATTTATAAACAGAAAACGTTACCTTAGATGCCCGTAGCGCTAAGGTCTCACAAGCCTTGGACAAATTTAATCTTGAAGATATTAATAGTCCTAAATACGTACAATAACTTGCAACTTTAAAATGTTGATCACCATATATCCAATTTTCATGCTTCGATACAATTCCACCATTTCTAAAAACAATAACATTGGTTTTCTCAAGGTTTACTTCTAAACCCCACTTAATACATTAAGCTGTTTCTGCAAGCATACCACATAATAAGACACCAGAGCAACATCATCCGCGAACAGCAATAACATAAAATGCATGTATCAAGGATTTTATTGAATAAAAGCAACAAATATGGTATTAAAAAATATCCTGGTATTTTGTAAAATTCTGGTGGACTCCATCAACGCCTGACGCTTTACCATTTTTAAGACTTTGTAATGCTTCCCTCACTTCTTGTTCTTTGATTTCACCAGATAGCAATTCTTCCCGTGAATGGAAGATCATTACATTCATCACACATATGAGTATCTAAAAAATCAGATATCAATAGATCAAACTCTGTTTTGGCCGCCATGCATATCGGATTCAATAAATTCTGAAAATAGGAAAGCCATACATTAGGAGTTATAGAACTGTCTGGTGATTTCTTACGTAACGACTTCTTAAGTATTTTCCAAAGCGTTTTACAATCTCCATAATGCGCTGCTAACTTAATTTCTTCACTCAGTTTTATGTCATACAGTTTCTTCTTCCGTTCACAAATCTTTTTTTTAAATTCTGCTTTTGCACTTATATATCTGTGCAAGTTCAGGTCACACTTATGATTTCTGAAGTTGTTGAGATATAAATACTTTCTAGATTTCATATTCTGACACTCGCCGTCAAACCAGGCTTGCTGAGATACACGACATTTTCCTGGACCAAGAACAAACAGCGCCAGAACTTGTAGCACAACATATCACAATGTCAGTGAGCTTAGTAACTGCTGCGTTAAGGTTATCATTCAAAATAACTGCAAACTCATTACACATTTCTCCACTTAACATA